AGGTCGCGTGGAGGTAATAATAGTGTGTCATCTGGGTTCTATATCTGTCTCTTGCTTTCTTTTCTAGATTTCTTTCTCTCACCAGTCATACAATCTTCTCCATATCTTGAAGTACACCGATTTCTCTTTATTCGGAGACCAATTCCTTCTGTGTCCAATCACACTTGGCCAATAAAAAAAAAATCTATTCTATTTATCCCTGCCTTTATTTTTATTTATTTATTTGGTTTGTCAAACATGTACGAGATAACAGGTAACATGAACACAGGAAATGGGTACGAATAAATGGGGACAGTAGAACAGGGAGGGTAGGCAGGAATGCTGGTGTGCTTATGCACTAGTGGTGGGATTCAGCCAGTTCGCACCTACCCGGGAGAACCGGTTGTTAACTTTCTAAGCAGTTTGGAGAACCAGTTGTTGGAAGAAATCTCCTTTTGTTTCTTTCCACTTTACAGGGAAAGCAGGAAGGAAACATTCTGGTGTTGTTTCTAGCTAATCTTCGTTGCCCTGCTTACAGAAACTGCCTCTCTGGTTAACCCTTATGACATTGCAACAGCTAAGGCGAAGCGCCCATTGACCTTAGTGACGTTGAGTTGGCCACACCCACATATTCACATGATCACCGAGCCCCACCTACCCAGCTGGTCATTAAGGAAGAGAACCGGTTGTTAAATTATTTGAATCCCACCACTGGAATGAACTTGGCATTCAAGAGGGAGAGCCGCAGTTTGGACAACTGGTGTGTAGAAGCCAATATTTCTACTTGTGTTTCTTATCTCAACTACCTTACAGGGTTAATAGTTCTATTCTTCTTCCATTTAACTTTGTCATGAGACTGTTGAGTTAGGTCATCCACCAGCATGGACATAAAATATCAGCTCTGCCCTGGATTGTCCAAATGATGTCATCACGATGCTTTCTCAGTGCCTGGAGACACTTCAGGTCTGGATGAGGAAGAATAGGCTTTCGTTCAATCTTGACAAGGCTGAATGGCTACGGGTTTTAGGGTCTTCCTTATATCACGATAGTTTGACAACCTTTCCCTACAAAGAAATTGACCCACCATCTGTGCAATAATCAGGTGGGATCCAGCCAGATGTTATACAGATTTAGAAATAATTGATGCTAAACTGAATGAGATGTGATTCAATTATAGACACCGATGCAGTCTTAATTTATCAAACCCAATGTTTTTTAAAAAAAGGAGATATATTCCAAGATGAAAGTTATGAAACAATATTAATAGCCAACATTAGCAGAGCTGTTTGTGTGACTGTTCCACTGAGGTATGTAAATATAATGTAGAAACCACAATCTGCGATGACGTTATTTATTACATCAATTTGTGTGCTGTCCACATAACCAGACTCTAGACAGTTTATGTGCCTAAAACATAACAACAAAATTAATAACATATTATCAATAAAACCCCTTAGGAAAAAAAAAGATTGATTTCAATGCCTTCCTAAATAACCGAAGGATAGGGTTCATCTTGACCTTGGATGACAAGCTCTTCCACAAGGTTCACCAACAAATGCGCGCTCGACAAAAGCGCGCCGACGAAACCGCACCGAGAAAACTGCAAGGTTGAAATCGCGCTGACGAATGAGCGCAGAAGCACGCCGACAACAGCGCGCCTTCAACGAACAACTAATAACAACCTAATAACCCTAACCCTAACCCTAACCCCTAACCTAACCCTAACCCTAACCCCTAACCCTAACCCTAACCCTAACCCTAACCCTAAACCTAAACCTAAACCTAACCCCTAACCTAACCCTAAACCGAACCCTAAACCGAACCCTGAACCTAACCCTTACCTTAACTTAAATCGCACTTTTGTGGGCGCGGTTTTGTCGGCGTGTTGTTGTGGGCGCGTTTATGATGTCACGGTTTTCTCGCCGTGGTTTAGTAGGCGCGCTTTTGTGATGCGCGCATTTGTCAGGTCACGCTTCCACAATCAGGTGGCTCTTACTGAGAAGTCCTTTTTATAGCTCCTGTCATCTTGATCTCTCAGCAAAAAGCTACTGGTCTACTCTCCCACCATAATTAATCCTTGTTGTGGGAGCAGATTCCATTCTAGAACAAGTAGATCCAAAGGGGACCAGGATGCAAGCCATACATAAAGGGCTTCCTAGATAACCACAATCATCTTGAATTGGCACAGAAACCGTTTCCCTTTTTCCAGACAATTTTTCCATGGACTGGAGGATCGCGCAACCTAGATCCTGCACATGCGCAGTTTCGCTTGCTTGCTTCTTACCTCCAGCTGTTTGGCCCGGTCCCTAACAGGTCCTTGCCCAGTACTGGCCCATGGCCCAGGGGTTGGGAATCCTGCAGAGGTGGGGTCCTACCAGTTCGCACCAGTTCGGTAGAACCGGTTCGTCAAATCTACCGAACCAGTTAGAAGAGGTTCCACCAGTGGACCCGGAAAGCAGCAGGCCACACCTACAGAAGAGGTTCCAAAANCGGAAATCCTCAGACTATAAATGAAACAATGGGAAATTTGTCTTTTCAAACTTGCAAGATTCTATTAATGTATCCTTACACTAAAGTAGAATTAGCCCATCAGCTCATGTTTTCTGTCTGGTCTACCTGGGAAGACTGATATAGACACGCTCTTGAAATAATTTCAGTAAGGAAATGAAGCAACATCATTCATTGTCAAACAACAAAGATAGCATTGGTTGTGTCCTGTTTATTGAAGTCCACTCGTGATTGAAACAAATAACAGCAAATATAGCAAGGCTACTTATTGCCTGAAAACAATAACTAACAGGAATCAGTCACCATTTTTTAAAAGTTCAATAGCAGACACCAAATGGATGTCAGTGTCTCAAGGATGAAACTTGAACATTGTATTCAGAGGGTGGTTTTGGCTGGATGACTTTCATTGGCAAAATTGTGGAATGAGAAACAAAATATACTCTTGTTATCCAAGGCTGCAATTAAACCTCATTATAATTTAAAACATTTATGAGATATGAAGACTGCAACACAGCAGGCTCTTTGTAGGAGTATTAGAAGCCAAGCCAGGAAGAAATTCATTTCCATTATCAAGACCGAACTCAATTCTACTTCGTTAGTGGGATGAAATCTTTTTCCCCAAATAATGGCAGGTATTCTGATTTGGTCAACCTTATG